AATATTTTCTGTTCCATTAAAATGATGAACATTATCTGCAGGTTGATTCAGTTCCAACATTTAAAGCTGGGCAAGGCAGCAAATCCGTAAAAGCTCAATCGTTTTTCATTATTCTGTAACTCGGTCTGATCCAGAGCTAGACTCTCGTCTCAGCTCCCAGCCTGGAAAGAGCTTTAAACTGGGACGTGAGCGTCTGACTGATTACTGCGAAGGTCTCAGAATAAAGTTTTGTTGGATAATGTCACCATGCCTTCATCCAACTCATCTCACATGAGCACTCCTTTGTCACTGGCATATAAAAAGCAGCACAGGGTTAGAACAGAAGGATCTGCCGTTGGGATGATTAAACCCTGTGGAGCGCAACAGCATCAGACGCTCCTCTTTGTTGGTTTTGTCACTGATTAAATCAGGATATTCATTAAATGTAACGAGTGAGAGGAACTTCAAGTACAACACAAACGTCACCAGTGACTTTATGAATAAATGTAGAGCTGCATTAATGAATCTTTGTGTATTTTGTGTCTAAGGATCCAGATGTCTGAGCAGCTACACTTCACGCAGTAACACGACTGTTACTTTGTTGCCACCGGTTCTAAAAACTACTTATGCGAGTGAATCGAGTGCGAAAGATAAGTGACGGCCGCCAGGCTTTGTGGTCTCAGTGGTCGGGTCTGCTTTTTGCTTCCTCCTTTTCAGGTCCTAATGATTTGCTTCTGTCATCTATTACAGGAAGTGACATCCTGCACATCACCAAAGCAAATAAAAGCCAAGTTGGAAACCATCTTCTATGGAGAAGGTTTCCAACTTGCTTTGGTTTCACTGCGCTCTGGTCACTGGTTTGAATGCCTTGATGCTATTATTCATTAGTTTAGCTCTTGTTTTGCTTTTCTTCACCTTTACATGTGGACCTCCTTTCTTTGTTATGCAAATGAACAAGTTGATTGGTTAAGCTAATTGGTTTTTTGAGTGAGATGTTTTGGGCTGTTGGTTCTTAAGAAATAGAAGCAAATGTAGTTTTTGGTTTCTTGTATGGTTGATTGTGTTAGTTTCCTTTTTTGTCCGGCCTGTCCTAGTTTTGTCTCTGTGCCGTGTCCTCTGTCTCCTGTGGAAATGAGTCTAGTCTCCATCTTTGTGTCCCCGTGTGTGTTTCTGTGCCGGTCTCTGTAGTCGCTCGTTTTCCCTTTTGTTCTGTCAAGTTAGCCTGTCTAAGCTCTGGCCCTTGTGTTAGCTACTTCCTGTTTTATTTTGTTAGGTCCTTGTCCCATGTATGTCATGTTCAGTTTTACTTCCTCTGTCTCCTCAGTTAGATTCTGCTCAGCTGTGTTCCTCACCTGTTCCCTTGTCGTCTCTGCTGTGTCTTCCTAGTGTCCTGTAGTAAGTTCCAAGTTCCTCGTATTCCTGGTATATTTGGCGTACTTTCGTTCCAACAGTTACCTTGTTTCAGCAGTGAAGCTGTATTTCCGAGCGCTTCCCTACGTTTGGCTCCAAACCTGCCAGTCACGCAGTTTGAGTTACGACAATTTCACACAGGAAAACTGCTGATCGTGTTTTCCTTTCGGGACCGTTTGTTATCTTGGTGTGTTGTCCATGTGGTTGAAGTGTTGGGAGCACTGGGAGTACTGGCTGGGACTTCTGTGTTTCCCAGATCCAGAGATACTGGTAGTATTTTCACATGATGGGAGGAAGCTGCGTGACTATAGTCGCCCTGTGGTTGTTTTCGTCTGGATTTGTCTTCAGCACTTCCTCCTTGTTTAGTTTAAGTTATCTGATAAATATAAAACATGAGTTTATGGACTAGCTGGCAGTGCAGGCTCAGGTGGCACCAGGTGGATGTCCTGTGGCAGCATGTAAAAATGAGCTGATGGAGTTTCTTGGGTTAGCAGGACATCACCACAGATTTGTAGTCTTTTCTCTGAGGAGGCTCCTTTCACCATCCTGTTACAAAAAAGCACCCCCAGCTGTCATGTTGCTTTAACATTTCTTCTGCTTCTGATCCTGGAGCTCAAATTTGTAGAAATCTTTTAAGATGCTGGTTGGATGCATTTGTGGGCGCTCCTGGAGGCCGGGGGGGGGGGCAGAGCTCAGCATCCTCGTCGGCTTCTTTTCATGGAAAGTTGGTCATCAGCTGAATTACTCTGAGCGAAAAGGGCAACCTGATGCTCATTTGGGCCCTCTGGGTTTTTTAGGGTCCACTGGACCATCACTACCAGTAATGTTGCATACAGATCATAATCTGCTGACTACTACTTTTTTTTAATGCGGTGTGCAGAACGGTTACTAGAGACTGCTTTGGCTGCTTTTGTATCATATTAAAGGTTAAGAAAATTGTGCATTTTCTCAAACACTGATGCCTCAAATGACCCCAACAAGACGATTTGCAAAGAAACCTGGCTTATCTTGGTGTGATGTGCAGTATATTCTTAAAAAAACGAGTAAACAGGACAAGTGGAAGACAAGCCTAAAAAACCAAATGCACAGCAGATAGCATCCATGATAGTCTGAAGGTCATGCCCTTGAAGTCCTGCAAGGATGACACAGGACCTGAGAGATGGATCTGACCCTTCAGTCGACCCATCTACTGCTCACTGAAGTCTCGTCAGAAATGGTCTCGGTGTTAGCGTGGCTGTCAGGAAGCCATTCTTAAAGACGGGAAATGGTCTGAGAGACACCAAAGGGACAAATCCAAATGTAAATTTCTGGATCAGATCTTCATCAGTCAGGTCAGGAGAGAGGCACTCTACTGTCCCTCATTTTTAAAATGTATTTTTCTCAGAAAATGGAAAGTAGATGCAACGATTGAATGAAAGGAGTAAATAAAAATGGAAAAACATTTAAGTTGTACATTTGGACTCAACATTACTGAAGCATTCTCACACTTCAGCATCCTAGTTCAGACGCAGAGCCGTGGCTGGCAGCTGATAAAAATCGTCATGTACCTAAACAGCTCTGCAAAGTGGTATCTTGATGGTGGTTGAGGAGGAGCTAAGTCTTACCTATTAGCTCTCGTCGTCGTGTTTTTCAGCCTGAGACCTGTTGTGGTGAAGCCATGCACTGCAAAGCAGAAGAGTAACTGATGCACCCTCATCTGGCCAATTTAAGCTTAGTGAAAAAAATAACTACAATAGGTTTGTGTGTTTTTCTGAAGCACAGAGACGTCTTAAAGCTGCACATTGCACATACTTTTCTTTCCATTCTCTGCATGTAGGTTGGGTTTCAGGGGAAAAACACAAAGACTGCACGGCCGGTTTGCACAAGCCTTAGTTTTGATTCAGAAAAAGATCTGAAAGTAAAAGAGCAGCAGTGCAGCGTTCGTCGTTATGCACTGAGGGAAACCACTATAAGCACATCTAGTTCCTCCCCAACTTGTTTTATGTAAATGCTTTGCATGGAAGCACAAAGCTGCACAATGAGAAGATGTAGTGGCAGAAAAACACACCAGAGACGTCAAACTACATCTCAGCGTGTATGTGTGTGCTGATGGTCGGTGACGAAACTATTGCTCTTCGATGGAGTGAGACGTTGTTTTTGTGAGTAACAAAGGTTTACTGCCAACAGGTCACTCGTTCTGGTTACGCTTCCACACTGCTGCGCTATCACGCTGCTGCAGTGATGTGTCAAACTGTACGTGTGGGCCATTCAGAGTGCGGTTCTCCTCAGCTGAGCAGAATGACACACAGAAAAAAGGGGAAAGAAAAGAAAGAGGAAGCGGGTTGAGAGACGGCAACTGTTTTGGCTGTATGCGCTCAGTTTGAGTCCGACGTTCCTGCAGAACAGTCCCATCTGAAGGATTTAAAGCATCTGTTTTTTGGGGGTTTTCTGCCTTTAATTCACTCTTTTGGCCAACAGGAGGAATTTACACGCTGCCACTTGTGACCTTCCATCCAGCGTAAGTGCACTTTGTGTGTTTTTAGTTTTTTTTATAAACTTTGACAGGTTGTGACTGGCGGTGGATCAAATGTGAGACGATGTGCAGCACATTTCGGTTGTAATACGCTTCAAGCCGTGTCATCTGTGGGAAAGTAGGGAGAGTCTTCCACATGATGTGCACTGACAGTCGTCCGCAGCGACGCTGGTGCAAAGGAAATAGTTGCAAGAAATGCCAAGCCCCATGTCTAGCAGCTGCAGCAGACAGCGCTTGGTACAGTACCTCCTGTTTTTAGCTCAAACTTACTGCTTTAGTTGTTAGACTTGGTCTTTTCTGTAATGTGCAGTTTCCCTGTGAATCTGAATCTAAGAAAAACCCAGCATGGATCCTTACCCTGTACTTTCATTGCGTATGCTTCCTTCTCCTTTTCTGTTTTTGTTTCTCTAAAACAGCTGCGTCTGCTAACTGGTCTGAAGCAAGAGGTTTGTACAAATGAACAAGCCTGAAAGTCAGTATTTGGCATGACTGGACCTTTATTCTCCGTCACATCCTGTGTCGGGTCTTTGCTGGATTTCTCCTCCCAAGGCCCGAAAGTGCAAAGTGCTTAAATTGGTTCTTGGCTAGCTTTCCTGTTAGGGGCTCATCCTTTGAGTTGGGCGTCTTCTGCATGCTCGAATGATTCACAGGTCAGTGTTAAGTGGACCAAGAAAAACAGCAAATGCTACGATGACTGGACTGAAAATGAGGGAAAAAGCATCCACACAACAAAAAGAAAAAGCTTTGAAAGAGCTTCAGAAAGTCTGAACAAGTGTTTCTCGAGATGACTTGAAAAACAAACTCCTGCACGCGTTGGAATCCAAATGCAAAGAAATAAGAGGTGACTGGAGACGTTTGCACAGTGCTATGGATCCATTTCATGAGTGCATATTGAAATAAAACTGCAACTCTCTCCTCCTCCTTACTTTGTCATTCAATCAGCTTCAAATGAATCTAAAAACAAGAGCTCTACCCCCCCCGGGAAGTCTGAGAGCCCACTCCCTCGCCCCTTTTAAAGACACCACACTGAGATGCTTCTTGATGCCGCTCACCCTCTCTCTCGCTCGTTTCTTCGCTCCCTCCCTCTCTCACCTCCCTCTTCCTCTTGCTGGGTGCCAGAGCTCGAGTGCGAGCGAGCTCCAGTTCCTGCTGGCCTACCCACTGTGCTGCTCCTATGGCGGACTCTCCTCTTAACAACTCCTGGCCATCCTTCTCCAGACTCTGGATGAAGAGATGGTCCTTCAAGAGAGGTAACCTGGTTTTACACTGACTTCATGTTTCAGCCATCGTGGGTATGTTGGGTGGATGGGGGGAGGTGACCCAGCATGGGCTGCAGACTGGATGTGACCCAGAGATGTGCGTTATACCTGCTGGCTACTGCTGCTGCTATTTTAATGTTCTCCTGGCTTCCTTTGGCCATTCTCACACCGTTGTTGTTTACCAGTTTGACCTGGTTGGGGTTTGTGGTCGGAGACAGTTAGTGCAGCAGATGAGACGTTGGTGCAAAGTTCAGTGAGTCATTTCTCACTCTGTGCAGTGTCACCATGCACCTTTCAAATTTGAGCATAAATCTATTACTGAATTTGTGTGTCCACTGGTGGAGCTGCACCGTGCGTGGACAGTTCAGGCTGTGAAGCTTTGCGTGGGACTTGGTGTGGCACTGGTCTTGTTGCCTTCTGTCCTTTTAGAGAAAGCGTGACTAACAGCTAGTTTCCTGCTTTCTGCGCTTTCGTGGTTTAATGTAATGCTTAGCGCACACGAGCAGCGTGGAACGTTTCCACTTTGCTTTCGTCCAAAGTACCCGGGCTGCTCAGCTCTGTGAAAACAGCCGTCGAGCGCATTTGTGATCAAAGAGGCTCTGCAGCCTGACAGTTGTTTTTTGATGTTTGCTTCAACCTCAGATCTCACAGCTTCTGCCTTCACCTCCAGCCCGTCACGCAAACACAGAGACACAGCAGCCCACACTTTGTGTGATTCAAGCACCAGTGACAGTTACTAAATGGTCACCACAACCTTAATGTGAGCTCTGTGTCTCAGACAGACAGGAGCTGTAAGTTTTATTAAATGAGTTGTAGTTTTATTTCCTGTGGTTTGTGTCACTGGGTGATGATGTATCGCCACACTGTGTAAGAAGGCATCAAGATCACAAAATCAACTGACACAATCACATGAGTTCCTCTTGTGATTAGCTTTGCAGACAAACGAACGGCAGACTTTGTGGCAAACACGTGCGATCGTTTCCTCCTCGTCACACCGGCTGCAGCGCTGATGCACAGCTTCTGGTTTCTTTTTCCTTTTAATTAGCGGTTGCAATCATTCAGCAGCTCAGCGCAGTTCATGAGACTTAACTCACCATTACAGCAGCTGAACAATAAACACCTCTTTAGAGATGGAGTGAAAATGTGTGTTTAGAAAGTAAAGCGAGGCTCGATGCTGAGCAAATCACAGATGCAAAGCCGTTCATGTTGGTGTTGTTCATTACAGCCACTAGTTTTAGTACGTGGAGCCAAACTGCGAAGAAAACAGCTGACAGTGACAAACGCGCTCACCTGAGGACGCACACGGGCGTTTCGTCTCTGTGTCATGTCGGGGGCGATCTGAGAGGCCGACCATAAAAGGCCACAGTGGCGCTGCAAGGCAGCATTAAGCAACCGCAGCAGCGCCTGTACTGGCTGTCTTAAGTTTACTCAACACGAGCGGGATCGGGACGCAAACAAATTCTCCTTCCAGTGAGGACACTGCCACCGCTGCAGCCTCGGCCTGTGATTTAGTAATATAGAAAACGGGATCTACAGCGCGTCTGTCTGTGTGTTTATATGACAGCAGCCCTGGCTGCGCCGCTGAAGCCGGGAGTGGATGCTGCTGGTTTACAGCAGGACACGATGTCTGCGTTTCATCATAGCGTTCAGCCACTGCCGAGGTCTCAAAAGTGATTCTGAGAGAGGGAAAAACACACATCGTGTGTGTGTGTGTGTGTGTGTGTGTGTGTGTGTGTGTGTGTGTGTCTCTCGCTCTGATGGTTAATGGTGATTTAGGAGGGTTCGTTTTTTTCTGAGTCTAACTGAGCTCAAGATGTCTTTTGGAAGACTCATCAAATCAACACAACACTAAAGAGGAGACAGGTATGATGATAAATAGAAATGAATAAAACTTTTCATTGCAAACAACCCTTCACCAGCGCACAGTAACCAGGATATAACTCAAGTAGGAATAGAAAAAATAAAATAATAATTTTATTTATAGGCACCGTTCTTATAAGCAATCAAAGACCAAAATCACGCATGCAGTTAGAGTCATGCGTAAAATAATAGTTGGTAAACGTAATAAAAAGTCAACAATAACAAAATAGGCAAGCTTTGTGTCTTATATATATCTATATATAGATTTATATACACACACACACACACACACACACACACACACACACACACACATCCCAGGTGTCATGGTAACTGGTAAATGGACTGGTTCTGCTCTACCCGAGCGCACTAACAGGCCTCATTCATCCATTCACACCCATTCATTCATACAGGCACAGTTTTCTATGCTTTAGTGTTTTTATCTGACATTCACACAACCAATGGATCCGTTTGGGGTTCGTATCCTGGACATGTGGCGTGCAGACTGGAGCAGCAGGGATCAAACTACCAACCTTTAGCCGATTATTTGATGACCGTCTGCGTGATCGAGTTATGTAATGTTTGTCTTTCAGGTTTTAAGCTTCCGTCATTTAAGTTGATCTTTTTTTTAAATATTAATATTTGTGTTAAGAGACTCGCTGGTGCAATCAGCAGCTAAAAAGCCGGACATCTTCTACAGGATCTGGCAAGTATTCAAGAAATGTATCTCTTAGACGGAAAAGCAACAACTGCTGTTCGTGAGGGTTTTCTGCTCTTGCATATATGATGTTGGGGTGTTTTATTTCTACACCAGAAGTGACTGGACTTGTATGACCATCTGAACGAAGTACAAACAGACACATCAGCTGCATCTCAGCCTGTATTAGCACTGAAAAACATACTGATTGGCTCTGATGTGCCCGTTTTGTGATAAGAGAGGCCCACCGAGAGTGGGCTGAGCAGCAAAACAGCAGGAGTTACTCCCACACTGAGCTGAAATCAAACATAAAAAACATGTCAATAAAATCTGTCTTAACTTTTTTGGTTTTAGAGGCTCTGGTAAAATCCTCCGGAGCGCTCTCTGCTCAACTCGAGCTCAAACTCTGGAGGCTACATGCAGTAATACTCCTCATGGCGACGGGCTGCCGAAGCACAGCTGTAGCACCGAGCTGTTTGTTGCCATGTCTTTGAAATTTTTACTTATCGCTGCATTATTGAGGGGAAATTCCAGTGTTTATATCTGCACCTTCTTTTTAACTACATGCATCATATCCTCCTTTTCCCTCCTACTGAGTTTACACACATATTACACATATATCATTGGGAAAAGCCCATTTTTACATTGAATGAGGAAAACAGAATAAACCGTGTGGCTGGAGCCCCACCAGTGGACGTGACGCCGTGAAACTCTGACATGTTTGCTCTTATCGGGTCTCAGTAATAAAATGACACTTTTAGCTCCAGAATAAGATCCAGAAATTCCACGTTTGCCTCTTCTGTGTCTGTTCCCCTCACGTCACCTGAGCGCACTGGTATATTATATGATTTATTGCAGGCAAGCTGCTTCTGGGGCTGCTGAAAGCTCAGCAAGGGAATAATCGCCAGCCTCCCAGAAATGACATGGAGACTAATGTTGGCTCACTGAGCAGTTGCCAGTGGTGACGGCGGTTTGTGGCATCATGTGAATCGAGGAATCTGTTTATGCAATGGAAATGCAAAGGAGCTTTCAGCGAGGGGCTGGAGCAGGGCTGCCGACGGGGCCTTTCTTCCATTATTCACTGCAACTGTTCAAATGCATTCCACAGGTGTTAGACAGCTGATGACGTCTGCCTTTTCTCCTCGTGTCGGTTGTAAATTTGTGTTTATCGAGACTAATAAATGCCAAATGATTTGTTTTTAGCATCAGAGAGCAAGCCCTGCAGTCAGCCCTGTGAGCCTCCCAGTGCTCATCTCAGCGTCCAGCCTACCAGTGCAAAAGGATCTTCCTCCTCATTATCTCCTGCTTCTGTCACTGAGGACGTCTCCTTTGGGTGGACCAGTGATGACCAGGTGAAGCTGAACACTGAGCGTTACTATTATTTTAGGTTCTCAACAAATGCAATGAAATTTACCAAAATAATAGTGATCCGAGGTCCGTTATGGACAAATGAATTCTTCCCTTTTGTCTGACTTGACCTTTAGCAGCAGGTGCCGGTCAGCTTCAGCTTTAACTCGTTCAAAGAATATCTGAACGCTAACATTTTACACACCAGGCTCCCAAAGTGTGTCAGGACTTCTATTCACGTCTGCTGTGTTTGTCTTTGCGCTCTGTCCAGGATGCGTGTTCGGTGGTGAGCGACTATGACTGCCCCTGCATCGAGGAGAGCAGCAGTGTGGAGGACTTGCAGAGCATCAGCCCCTCTCTCAGGGACTCTGAGTACTTAAAAGATCTGCGGGGAGGTACGCCGACCTCGCAGACAACTGCATCCACAGTGACCGCAGCCGCGGAGAGCGTCGACCTCCAGGAGCCTCTAAACACAAACAGTCCAGCCCTAAACCGACCTGCACACTCTTTTCTGAACACGCACTCCCCACACTTAAATGCCCCGTTCCCGTCCTGCGAACAGCCTCCAGAGGAACTTCCTCACAACCTTGTGGTCACTCAGCTCAGTCCTAAGTTGTTACCAGGTGGGTTCACTGATTGCGAGGACTCTCTCTGTGGAGGCTCTGCAGTAGGGCGGAGCTCGCCAAGTAATTTGATCGGATTGTCGGGATCGATGGAAACGGCATCGACAGCGGCGATGGAGGGAGCAAAGGACCAGTGCTCAATGGATTTTGATGGAGAGCCAGACCTGGACAGCTTTCCTATTCTAATCAGATCCATGTCTACATCTCGGAGGCACAGCTGGGGTGTCCCTCTGTCCCCCATCAACCTGGGGAGGAGGTAAGACGCAGAAACATTTCAGAGGAAGCGTCTCCTGTTACAGTCCAAATCTACTTGACTCATAAGTCGTATAATAAAGTTTCTACATAGAGAAACGTCTTGCTTCAGTATTACTCAGCACAGTTGTCACGCTGAAAAACAAAAACACTTTTCTGCCTGTGTTATTTCAGTGAGCTGAACGTTTCCTGTGGTTGGTCTTTCACAGCTTTTTAAATAATGACGGTGAAGCTTCTTTGAGCTGTGAAAATGAAACGTGCACAAAAATACTGACAAAACAGAAAATACACACAAGTCATAGACTCCCTCTGTCTCCCACATGTGTGTGTGTGTGCACATGCTTGTATATGTAAATCTATTTGCTTTGTGTTTGCTTGCCGTGCTGCCAGACTCAGTCTCGACACCAAGGCCATAGACAGTGACGGAGAGAGAGATGATGATGATGACGAGGAGCGACAGAATAGTCTTTTCCAGTCCACCTACAGCTGCTCGCCGTGTCCTGAGGAGGACTCCGGCAGTCCTGATGGCTTCAGCCTGAGGGTAAGCTGCCCAAAGATCGGGGTCACTGTGGTGGTAATAACTCAAAAGTGGCATCGAGGAACTTTTTTTTTAAAGTAATCTCACAACAAACCAAAAGCAACAATGTCATTTAGTTCCCTCTGAAGACGTCACAGACGTGCAGCTCTGCGCTGAACTCGAGCTCAGTGATTTCCTCAAACTGCAGGATGCTGTTCATCTTTCAGAACAAGCAGGTGCATTTCTGTGACACTGCAATGAATGAACACATCAACCAGTGAGCTTCTAATAGTTTTTGGAAAAGACTGGAAGTCCCAGAGGACTTTTGGTCTGGGACATATGGACGATAGGAAAGCTGTAGGTGACCACAGCTTGGATATTTGATACTAAACAACAAATTAACTGAACCACAAAGAACTTTCTGACCACATTGACCAAAATAACTGAATGTAAATTGCTGTCTGCATAAGAAATCTATCGTATACAGTAAGTGTGTGTGTGCTGCTTGCTGAGGAGTGGATACACGTGCGTTTATTCTTCTTCTGTCAGGACCACGGTGAGCCCGGCAGGCAGCTATACTCCCGCTCAGAGATCCTTGCTACAGACGATTGCTCCCGTGCTGCACACATTTCTCGTGTTGTACAGACATCCAAACGAGCTGCCAGGGCAGCAGGAGGTGGGCCGGCGGCTTTAACGCCTGTAGAACAAATCTAAGTTCAGGTTTTATCACCTGAAGGCATCTTTCCTCATAACTGAGCAGTTTATCTTTTTCACCTGTAGCTGAGGAATTTGACCCGGAAGAAAACCTGCATTCTACTGAAGGACAGACGCATATGTGAGTACACGTCATTTACATCAACATAGCTGCTCGTTCTCACCGTGTTCGAGAAGCTGTTTCTGTCGAGTGCAAGTTTAAAGATGTTTGAAAGAAGGAAGTAGTTTGATTACATTAGGAAACACGTCTTCTAAACTATGTTGGATTGTATTATTGCAGTTTTTGACTCCTTTAGTGCAGCAGTGCAAATCCTGCTCTGTAGCTTTAAATGGTGAGCTGCAGCTCTCTCACTCCCACATAGCAGAGGGGCTTTCCCCACTCTCTGCTGACATTTCTGCTCCATGTCATATGTCAGCAACCTTCTCCTCCCACAGTTCCCTCTCCCAGCTCCTTAGATGGCCCCTTTGTGTCTGTGTGTGTGAGGGGGAGGGTTATTTTATATGTACCCGGGCGGTGTGTGGACACAGCACACGGGGGAGGATTCTTCTCAAAATCAGCACCCAGCTCCTAGAATTGTTCTCCTCCACTTAGTCTCAGTGTCTTGTTTGTCTCAGGGTGATGGTACAGAAAGTTCTGCAGGAGCTAAAGAAGTACCACGGGTAAGTAAACAGGAGAGGGAGGTCTGCGTGCTTTCACTGCTGTAGCGGCGTCCCAGTCTATAAAGCACCAGCAGAGCCAGACTGTAGAGCGTGCGTGTGCACACACTGCACTGTAAGTGCAAGCATGTTTTTGCCATGTTTTGCATGTTGACATTGTGCAGTGACACGGCTGTTATCACTGGGAAAACACTCACCGAGTCTAAACCACACTCTTTGTTTTTGTACAGTTTAAAGACTCGAGCCACGACAAACACGTTTCTCACATTTGGAGATTTTTGAATCCAGCCTTTCATTGTCATTGTTGTCATTGACAGAGAGAAGCAGAGAAGCAGCAGATCAGACGCCAAAGATTCAGGAAGTGTCACTTGGTACGAGTTCCTCTCTAACGAGTAAGTACGGCCCTCACCGTTGTTCCCCTGTGACTGAAGCTCATCGTCTCACATTTGGGATGTTTGTGATCTCAGCGAGTCCTGGGAGGAGTTTTATTAGCCGTCGGTGACGGGATACAAAACTGAAAGCAGTGAAAGACAAAGTGCTGATACAGTGCAGGCTGCTCTTGGTTCTGCAATAATGTGGTTTGTTTTTATAGAAACCATCAGAAAACTGTTACTAATCAACAATGTCCCCTGTTTGCCAGGATGAATTTCTGATGTGTGCTTCAGGGGAAGTTTTATGGGTTTTTATTCCCTTACTATGTAAAGCTCCCTGAGATGACCTGATGCTGCACAACAAAAGTCAATTGAAACTCAACAAAGAGTGTAATGCTTTTAAAGTCAGGGATAGCAGTGGATCATCTGCTTCCATCTCACCCTTTAAAGGCTGAAAGCAGAAGAAAAAGACGCCACAGAGATGCTGTGGTGTCTTTACACTAGCTTGTAGTTTATACTTTACTCTCTTGCTCATCTACCAGGAATGAAGAAGAGGAGGATCGTATAGAGAAGGTGGAAAGAGGCACAAAAGTAAAAAGGACTCTGAGCTCTCTCAGGAACAGGATGACCGGCTCCTTCAATAAAGACAAGGTAATCCTGTGAAGCCCCTACGACTTCATGGCGAAATATAAATGTACCTTTTGCACTGAAGTGCGTGGCACGTTTGGCCTAATGATTGCATTTTAAAGCAGATTGCAATCTCTATCCGAATTGTATGTCCTGCCTCAGCCATGAGATGTCATGTTTATTATGTCTGAAGAACACAACATGTGCATGAAAAAACCAATCTGCCTCTTTCCTTGTTCCTCTGCAGGGTAAGAACCGCGAAAAAGAGCCTCAGAAAGACAAGGTGAAGGACAAGGACAGGGAGCCCAAAGAGAAAATGTGTGGCATTCACAGCAATGGGCATCATTTGGTGCCAGGTTCCTTCTCCAGTTGTGCCACGTGCTCGTTGTGCAGCAAGGCGCTGCAGAAAAAGCATGGCCTGCAGTGCACGAGTGAGTAACACCACAGCCACAGGTGTACACGCACCCACGCTTCTTCTCAGTCGGACACATATGTGCACAGGTGCTGCGCTCATGCACAAGCTCGCATCTATTTATACTGCATGCACACTCACTCGCCCACTTAGTGGCGCACTCATGCACACAGGTAAACAAACCACACACACATGCACATACAACACGAAGAGCTTGTGCTCACTAAACACCCGTTCAGCCTCCTTACACTGACATCTTTGTCAAAGCACATACATGGAATCAGACAGCAGCTTTCACCACCCGTCACAGGGACTGTGGCTCCTCTTTGGGGCTGTTGAAGACATTTTGCCGTTCCCTTCCCTTGTTAGATGTTAAGATGACACAGCCTGCCCCTTTCCCGCCTCATCATTACTTTACCTCATCAGGTCACACACCTCGGTGAACTTGTTTGGACAAATTCTTGCAGATGTTTCGGTGAAGCTGCAGCTCGCCTTAGATTTGTTTTTCTAGTTTGCAACATATTTCAGATTTCTGCTGTCTTGTACGTGTTGAATGAGCTCGAAGTGGAAAAGCTGAGCCTCGCTTTGTCTCAAGGTAACCAAAGCTTCATGAATCCATTGGTCTGTTACTCTTAAGCCAATCAAGGGCAGCGTACAGTCAGAATAATGTTACCGAATGTGTCTTTGCACATTTGGAAGATTATAAATAACTGCAACAGCTTCTGATGAACTACTTGTACGGTGCATGGAAGAAGTTTCCCAGTGAAACTCTTTAATAATGGCAGTCGTGTTAGTGGACGTAGACGAGAGTTAAGAACCTTTAGTCTGTATTATTCACATCTGACCATAACGTGTCTGACAACTTTACTCAAGTAAAACTAGTTTGCGTGTCAAATGTTTGGCTTCATGTCAGTAAAATGATAAAAAGTCTCTTCTCTTGATAAAGACGATGGCAGCACAGGTTTCAAAACTGCATCTGACCAAACCACAGCGCCACGTTTGGAGAAAATCAAACGCAGCATACCAGCACAACAACCTCACATCAACTGTTGGGCACGGTGGTGGGCGGGGCAATGCTTTCAGCTCGTTTTGCAGCCCCGGGACTGGACACCTTGCACTCACTGAGTCCACTGTGCACTTCTTAGTATACAAAAGTATTCTAGAGGCAAATGTGAGATTGTCTGTCTGACCAAACCTGGGTCACGCAATAGGACAATGATCCCAAGCACAGCAGCAAATGTTACAGCAGAATGACTGAAAAAGAAAAGAATCGACGTGTTTCGATGGCACCGTCAAGTCAGGTCAGTTACATTTAATTAGTTTAACTTATACAGCAGCAAATCACAACAACAGCCGCAGGGCTCTTTATACTGGAAGGCGAAGACCCTACAGTAATACAGATGACCTCTTTGAGCAAGCACTTGGCGACAGTGGGAAGGAAGAACTCCATTTAAACAGGAAGAAATCTCGTTCAGGACTCTAGGAGGGGCAGTGACAGGAATGCTGTGGGCGGACCTTAAGAGCATAAACAAATGTCCACAAACCTAAAGCGATGCAGTTAAAATGGATGGTTCTAGACACACTCTCAGTATTGATGTTACATCTATGTTTATACAGGTTTGTTAAAGTGACAGTTTTCAACTCCTACTGGGTATTTCCTTTCCATCACCGTGACTGATGCTGGCAGTGTGGACTTTTGTCACATGTGTTGACATTATTGTAAACCAGAGGCCGTCTTCTCATAAGCCATGTGGTCTGGCTGTTGAGAATTTCACATCAACAAATAAAGTTTCCAGTAACAAGGAAACAGAAGTGTTCTCAATGTCATCACCATTTCTCTTTGCTTTCACTGGCACATGTGGATGGGAGCACTGGGGGCATTTAGTCATTCTGTGCTATTGCTTCATTATTTCATGACTATAACCCAATATTTCCTTTCTCCCTCTATTCTGTGGCAGACAAAGGCCATAATACGTCCAGGATATTTATACACCGTGCGGTCTGGCGGTCAGGATGTAATATATGGTTGTTTCTTATTGTTTGCTTATTAAACAGAGCTGCTCTGGTATCCTTCAGCGAGGCTCGGCGTGCCACACATTCAGTGTCTTCCTCTTTGGACTGCCTCTTTTTTGACATCTTCGTCTTTCAGCTGCTCCCCTTAAGGGTGGATCATCTGCCTCCATCTCACCCTGTCCCTAGCATCATCACAACGACCCACTACATACCACTACATCCACGAATCCCCTCTTTTGTCCTCCTTAATTTTCTTCCTCCCTTCAACATCCTTTGCCCAGCATATCCACATCTAATCTTGTACATCCTGGTCACTCCCAGTGAAAGTCTGAGCATCTTCAACCATACACTGTCGTCTTGTAAACCTTCTCTTTCATTTTGCTGCTATCCTTCTGCCGCAAATCATCCCTAATACTCGCGGATGAAGCAGGCTCTCATCCACCTGCTCCCCGGTCTCACTACAGATCACATTGTTGCCTGTAGATATCATAGTCCACAGAGCCTCCATCACTGTGTCAAAGAAGAAGGAAGGGTCTTAGCAGATTGCTGGTGTAATCCTATCCTCACCTTGAACCTGCCTGTAAACCTGCTGTACACCCTGCACCACCCTCACATCCTTCTTCACGCAGTACCACAGTTCCTCTCTTGCTTTCATAGATCCACAGAAACCACAGTGCAGTTCTTTTTGACTTTCTCTACACTTCTCCATCAGCACTCTCAAAGCAAACATGTCTCTAGTGTAAAGTAAAGTAAAGTGTGCGTGTTAGTCCCCATAGGGAAATAGTTTACTTTCTCGGCATGAGGACACTGCTGTTCACTTATCGTCACCTCTCAACAACTCTTTCCCATATCTTCACGGTATGACTCATCAGCTGTATCCCTCTATAGCTGCCTCAGCTCTGTACATCACCCTTGTTCCTGAAAATCAGTACCAGTACACTTTTCCTCTGATGCTCGGGCTCTTTCACTCTCCGAGATTGTGTTAAACAATCTGGATAAAACAATAATAATAATAATAATAATAATGCATCTGTTACATTTCTCCATCCATCAATCATCATCGCTGCTGCTGCTGAATGAAGTCACAAACCCTAGATGCTCATGTGTTGTTGTTCCGCGGACACAGGCGTGAGAAAACAAGTGAGTGTCCCTTTAATTTGAACTCAGCCCTGTGGGGATTCAGCCTGTGGAATGCGTCGTTTGTATGCCAGAGATTGTTCCCAGTGGAGACACAAACTGGACAAAACCGAGTATGTGGGATACTTGTTGCTGATCTCACTGGCCGGTGTGTTTTATTTAACTCACGGACAGACTACAATTCCCTTCGGATGCAGCTGATTCAGGCAAATCCGAGTCTTCTTGGGCGGTAAGAAGCGGCTACTGTAGCGATGGTCTCAAGCGGGATCAGGTGGATAACTCCCGTTGTTTCCCTCTGTGGACTTTTCAGTCATTCCTGTCGTTAGCTAAGCCAGCTAAGAGCTAATCAAAGCCAACTAGGAGCTTTTTTCTTTTCCCTCCAGTGTTGACTCGGTGTGATAATAAGGGCAAGACTCATTTACTTCCCCGAGAGTTTAATTTATACTTAGCTGGCCCAAATTAGCTCCCAGCTATTCTCAGCGTAGTGCTGGCTACTTATTAGCCTCGCAGCGCTTAGCGTGCTAGCTCGCGAACAACCTCTCCTTCTCGAAACACAAGGTTAGCTGAAAGCTTGTGTCTTTGTGGCGTAAACAAACCCACAACGCCACGAAACTCGTCTGTTTGTTGAACTTTACGTGGGTTTTTCGGTGACTTTGCTCTGCTGCCGGTTGTAGACTTTGCACGAAGCTCAACAGGTGATTGCTAGCGTTAGCTTCCAAGATAACTTGGTGTGCCTGAAGTCTAATTTACTGGCGTTTCCTCTCCTGTAACGTGTTTCAAACGGAGCGTGTATTCACGTTTACAGCAGTAATGTTAGAGCAGTGTTGACCGAGGCTGTCTCCACCTCGTTTCCATCAGCCTCCTTTATTTGTCTTTGCTCCCTCCTCTTAGCTGACTGAGACCCAGGCAGCTTTTATTCCTTAAATGTATATTCTTCAGTGTATTAAATGAGATGCTTCCCATTCCTCAGCCGGGCAGGTGATGCCCCTCTGCCAGAGCTTTGCTGGCATCAGGCGATAGGAATGCCCCAGGCTGAGGGGTGACCATTCAGCCTGTCACCTCACTCTTCAGCCTTTCTGTTCTGACTGGGTCACATGGTGCTAATTGTGCTTGGCAGGTCTACCAGTGCATAACAGCCCACTCCACTGACTCTGGGTCTCACCCATGTCTGCCTGTTAGCACAACACTTCTTTATGCATCACTGCCTTTCCTTCAAGCATGCCCGGCTCTCTGAATGTTTGCATTTTACACGATTGAAGGTTTGGCTCGCACACTAGTATTCTCCTCCTGTGGACCATTGTTGTCTACTTTTATACTGGTAACCTTTGGCCTAATTAATCAGGAAATGGGGGGGGGGAGCACCATTACCAAGAAAAAGTAGAATGGTTTGGACCATTATTTCCAGGAGTGAGAACCAGATTAATCTAATAGTTCAAACCCAAGCAAGGTCAAGTGTACGACAATGAAGGCATGGTTGTTGTGCTAATTTATGTTGTGCATTAGATTATTGGTGGTCTTCTTTTGGTGGAGATGTTTCACTTCACTTTGTAAACTGCGCCGCTTCCCTCCCGTTTCATTAGATGATGTCATTGGGTTGTCTGGCCTCTTTGGACTTTGTCACTAGTGTTTTTGGGGATTAAGAGTAACTTCTTTCTTTTTCTTTTTTTGCATGCATGATTGCACAGGAAGCTTTGTGCTAGAATGTTTTTTTTAAAGTGACCTGTTTTCCTCTTTACCTTTAGTCGATCAGCTATTTGTGGTAATACGGTTGATTGGGGTCACACATGCTTTTCACATGGTTCAAAACGATAAGCAGCCTACTTATTGAACTTTACCGTCAAGTTAATTTCCTCTCATATTGTGACACTGCACTTTCCAAGTTATTCTGTGGAAGGGTGATATGTTTACCTTCTATTGTAGCTTACATGCTCTCTCTGTGTTTTCTCTCGGTTTCCTATCTAGTTGATGGGCATGCATTTAGCTGCTGTGGATATCCATATCCATGGTTTAATAGCTGTTTGTGTCAGCTCTGCAGTGGACCGGGGATTTGTCCTCGGAGTACCCCGTCTCACCCTGGGTCAACCGGGAGAGACTCCTACCCCGTGCAAGCCTTGTTGAACAAGCTTTTAAGAGAATTCATACATGGGTGGAAGTTATCTGCCTGAGAGGACATGCTTGAAAATGCTTTTCATTCACATAAATCGAACGATGTTCACATACAAAGGGCTCTGGTTCTCTAAGTCATGGGAACCAAACGGACTGCCTTAGTGACTTTGAATGCCATGTGTAGGATTCTGGTCATAACAGAGCCACTGGATCCACTCACAGCAAGCGTCTATAGTCAGTGTTTTTTGTTTAAGTCGTCATTAGTCTGTAAGTGAACAGTGGATGTGACCTAAAATGAGCTCTTGTGGCCCTTGACAGCAATTGCAGTGCTAGCCTCTATGGTTTAAAGCCTATACTTAGAGCTGTGACAGGGTTATTGCTTTCACATGAATTAACACAACAGCTTCCTGTGTTTTTGCACTTTGTCTTTGCTATGAGTTATATATATTTTCTACAAACCAGGCTGCACCTTCAATCTGCATCTATCATATAGTAAGGAATAAAGTAAAGACATTTGTGTGTGTGAAGCAGGATCGCAACGAGAGCTTAAGATTGACAGAAATGCACAGCTGCTTGAATCTGAGCCACCCGAGCACCATCAGGTAGCCAGGCGTTCTGAAATTCTTTCTAAATAGATTCAAAGCCAGCATCGGCAAACTCACAGCTGCTTTAGGATCTAAAATGTGCATCCTTTGTTATTGCATGTTGTAAAACCACCTGCGACGGAAACTGCAGTTTCACAACCTGACAGCGTTTCTGGGCCGCGTGTGAAAACAGTGTTTACATGATGTGATGTGTGAAATAATGCTTTCCTGGAAGAAACCCCTGTTCTTCTGTTGACCTCTGCCAAATCCAATGCCGGGCATGTGAGATAACACATTTTCTCTAGAAGTAGAGTAGCAGCACAGCTTTTTTTTCTTCTTCTAATTTTCTATCAGTTACAGCAGAGAGCAAAGTATCATTTTCACTTCTAGTTCACTGTGACTCACTGAAGTGTGCACTCTGTACCACAAGAAGACTTGTTGTGCGATGGGGTGTCAGCAGATGTTGGGTGTGGTCGTGGTTTTGTTAGGGAGCCGAGTGTCCCGTGGATCAGCGACTGACATCAGTAACTGTAACTTCTGACATTTCTCAACAGTATCAGTCGTCCAGCTGATGATACGAGATCCCGTCCTCTCGGGCTGTGGATATGACCAAAACCTCATCTCCCGATATCAGACATCTATCGTCCGATAACCATATAAATCACAAAAATGTAATATTTTCTGTAAATTCTGTGAATCTCGGGCAGCTCGACTTGCGTGAAGTGTTTCCAGCTGCGCGTCGTGTAGCTGGAGTTTTAACCGATGCTGAAACTTTACATTTTTAGACATAAGTTGTAACGGCGCCGTTTTCTTTGTGAGTATTTATTACACGGCGTGCTGCGGGGAGAAGCCTGTTCTAACGTTTGAGTCTAAGGTTTATTTTTTAGCACCTGGCGGCTCTTTTTTGCTTCTCATCCGTAAATAATCTGCTCTTTCACGTGATTCAGTTTATTTTGAAAAGTCTCAACAGGATCTTGAGCTTTATTGTGAAAGGTTTATGTGGAACATAAACAAGCGGATACGCGATGGCGTTACCGTCGTTGTTGCTAATGACAACGCATAAAAACAGGCGCTTGTCCGTCCGTAGTGTGGTTATATTAAATATAAGAGAAAGAGAGAAGTTTAATAAATTAATATAAACACTACAGTGACATCAGAACCATGAACAAATATTGCCGTAAACAGTTTATTTTGCAACACCACGAAACAAACGACAGCGTAAAATGAAACGACAGACGTTTTTATATCGTCATCAGATATACATGGTTATATCGACCAGCCCTACTCTCCTCACCTGAGCTCTGCTTACTTTGATCTCTGTCACCACCCGTGTGTTCAGCATGACTGGTGCACAGTGTGCTATTGTTAACAAGCTGCAATGATAAGCTCGGTGATATCAGTGAGCAGAAAACCTACTGTTCTTGCTTATCTAAGGTTAATCTTTTACTTCTATTGACTGATAATATTGCAATGACATTGATTTTTTTAAACCCCACACAGATATACTTAATTATTAATCCCGTCTGCTTCTCAGTACCTTTCCAAGAGAGGAACTGCCGTACTGCATAAGGAAGTGTGGGACGGTGACACAGCGGTGAGCTGTGTGGTAGGAGTCGGTGGGCTTTGTGTTTGCAGTGTTGATGGACAGGCTGACAGATCAGTGGACTGTTCGCAGATGACATTGTGCTCTGTAGTGAGAGTAAGGAGCAGGTGGACGAGAGCTCTGGAAGAAAGAGGAGTGAGCCTTGCCCGTGGGGCCGGTTGTCTTCATTAAACAATGAATTTGAGCTCGTCTGTGGAACAGCCAGATTAGCAAGAAGATTACATTTTATTTTCTTTTTCATCTTTTAGTTGAATCAGGATGAAAAGTTGGAAATTTCTAGTTTCTTCTGAAGTTCCTTCTCGTCCAGCCTTTAGCTGCTAAACAAAGTCTAAAAGGGGAAAATGGGCTTAGATTCAACGCAAAGTGCTTCTAGTTGCTATTCACAATTTAAGTATATATCTGCTGAATACAGCTCAAAGAGAGGCACAGCGGTGCTGGTTCAGATTATTCAGAAGCCAGTTTCTGTTTTCTTTTCCTTCAGCTGAGCCAGCAATTGTTCATTTATTGTGAGAGCGAGCGAGCAGCAGACACAGAGAAAAAAGCTAAGAGGCAAAAAGCTGCATGCAGAGCGTTTTCACACACAAACGTCTCACTGCTTCATGCTTTTTCTGGGTAAGAAGATACAGACTTATCATTTGTCTCCATTGTAGCGGCTGTATTGTGGTACCAGCATTCAGAAGGGAGGGGTAAGGACTAGAAACTTTTAGCATTTAGTGGAAGTTGCTGGTACGGCTCACGCCAGCGTCACCTTTGTCAGCCAGCTACAAAGCCTGATTTCAAACACTCGCCACGCTGCCTGCGTCGGTGTAAAGGAGGCAGCGCTGACAATGAAGCTTTAGGACATAAACATCATCAGTGAACGAGTTATTGTGCGACGTCACACTTTCTCTTGTGATGCACTGACTCGACGCAGTCAGCTGAAATTTGTTTTTCACCAGTCACAGCGTAGATAAGGTTTTACGGCTTCAGTCTGCGTACGCAACCATGTACTTGTCCGTCTTGTTTGTATTATCGTGGTTTTACCTGGAAGGGCTGGAAACACGCTTTGCATGCTGAAGCATGACTAATTTGTTTGGCTAGCCTTGTCCTCCAGAAAAGGCTTCGGGCGTTTACAGTATGTGTTGTACTGCACGCTGCCAGGTTGCAAGATCTCAGTAATCGCGTACGCGATAGAGGAGAACTTTTCTCACCCCCGGTTTATTTTTCCATAACAGCTTTTATCTGTGTAATTAGCAGAGAGGTATATACAGCCATGTCATCTAAACATGCAGCAGCAGCAGCTTTGGGTTTAATAAAGACCGAAACATAAACCTGTTACTGAGAAAAAGGAAGCTGCTGGTCCGACTGCGCTCTGACTCTGTGTCTTTATGGGGAAACAAACAGAAGCCACAGCCACTGTTGCACCAGTCCCACCAGTTTTACTTTACAAATACATGCCTGAAAACAAACATTGTGATTTGTTTGCATGAGCTGAAAGTGCTGTCCTTCAGCTTTCTGTTTCTTTGCCTTGTCTGAATCACAGCTTTGTACTTGTGATGGCGTCGCCTTCAGGAGCTGCTCAAATGTTGTTCTTTTTCATTTCAAACATGCATCATTGCCAAAACGTTGTGGTCTTGTATAAACCTGCTCCTGCAAAGACTAATGATACACTGACTGTAAGTTTCTGCCCTGGTGTTTTTCAGATTGCGCTGTGAACGTTCACAAGAGCTGCAAGTCTCTGCTGGGGGAGTGCACCAGCAGCAAGAATAAGGTAAACACTCGAAACACGGCGAGCAGCCACGATTAGGCCACGCTGGGTTTGATTGCGCTCTACAGGCCTGGACTTTAATGTGATGTTGCACGAAGGAGTTGCATATCACTTCCTGTGTCCTCTTCTGTGGTTCGATTACATTAGTGCTTCTGTGCAACGCTGGCAGTGATGACACGTAGAAACCTTCAGACGGGATTTATTTTGTCAAGCATGAGAAATCTGGAGGAATGTTTATGTTAAAATGACTTTTGGGTTGATGATGAAACGAGAATTTGCTGTTTGACCGTGACGGCAGGATTCAGTGTTCACTGTGACAGTGAAGTGGGCGTAAACAGAAGTGTCGATGATGATGCTGCCTTCTTGTAATTTCCACATTCAATACGAGGGCTGTCGAAACATTTTGCAACAACCGCGCCCATGACTCCCAAACATACACCGTCTCTTATGCATCTGCACAATATGAGCTCACTGGAGCATCAAGAGGACTAAGGTTGTCCTAGTCTACAAGTCATACTTCTTAAAAATTATTTTTGGGGATTTTTAGCGTTAATTGATTTGATGGAGCGCTGATCAGAAAGCAATTCAATGTTATTTATATAGCGCCAAATCACAACACAAGTCGCCTCAAGGCGCTTCATAGATACAGAGAAAAACCCAACAATCACATGACCCCCTATGAGCAGCACTTTGGCGACAGTGGGAAGGAAAAACTCCCTTTTAACAGGAAGAAACCTCCGGCAGAACCAGGCTCAGGGAGGGGCGGGGCCATCTGCTGTGATTGGTTGGGGTGAGAGAAGGAAGACAGGATAAAGACATGCTGTGGAAGAGAGACAGAGGTTAATAACAGATATGATTCAGTGCAGAGAGGTCTGTTAATACATAGTGAGTGAGAAAGGAAAAACTCAATGCATCATGGGAATCCCCGGCAGCCTACGTCTATTGCAGCATAACTAAGGGAGGATTCAGGGTCACCTGGTCCAGCCCTAACTATATGCTTTAGCAAAAAGGAAAGTTTGAAGCCTAATCTTGAAAGTAGAGAGAGTGCATGAAGGGACAGTGACGTGCACGCAGTGACTTGTGTGGACACGTTTCTGGGTTTTAAGCACACAATGTGCTGGACATCTTATTTTAAAGGGCTGTAATGTCCAATTATATCAGGAAGTGGAACAAATAATCTCATTTGTTTTTCATTTGTTATTTTTTTTAAACAAACTAAAGTGAAATATAACTCAGACTTTATAAATTCCAGTGTTGTACGTTTTCTGACATTATTTCCTCTTTTTTGTCTCATTCAAAAATGTAAGAGTAAGACAGAAGACTGAGAACAAAATAGGAATCGTAAAAGAAATTAAGGTGGTGCATGAAGCTACTTCATCCCCTCACAGACGCGTGAATCCACTTCTGTCGGGGCGCTTTTCCCGGCTCATTTGCAGCTCGACTTCTCTGATCTTGTGAATCTGCCTGATATGAACTTGTTAATAAAGACTAACTGTGTGCAATGTTGTATAATTTTATAATCTGACTCTGTTGATAAAAGCACGAGAAACTGGCCTTAAAAATGTCGTCTTTCTTTATTTTCTCCACGCAGAGAGATACGCTACCGAAGCCTAGCTCATCAGGATCTCCTAACCTCGGTGAGTAGAGCGCTGATGTGCGGATGTGGTGCTCGCCGATCCCACTGACACAGTATCAGTGTAACTATGGGGGTTCATCGATGGCTCAGAAGGTGGCTTTATATGTCTAATTAGAAAGCTGGTTGCCACACCAGAGGATTAAAAACATGAACCCTCAACACATCTGATGGCGGACTTGTCCTATTTCTTTCTGGTGTGTGTGTTTGTGTGTCTGTGGGTCTGCTTCTCTGTGGTGTGTGCGCCTACACACTGAGCATAGGAGGGGGAGATTGGCCTCCAACAGCCGGTAGGCGAAGGTGATGATTAGCCACCGTTGAGAACAGTCAGATTTACTTCTGGTTTACCTTTTGTCCAAACTCTGATTTTGAAATGTTGTTTATGTACCGACTTCGTGTAAAGACAGAGCTGCTGTACTAATACTGCTATGAAGTGTTGCACAAGTGTCACCTGTGCATTCTGACCTCATTCATGGCCACAGGGCGTCATTGTTGAACAAAAGCGTTTAGAAAGCAAATGAAAGACTGGGTGAAGCTGCACGTTTTAGTCTTTTTAAAGTCGTTCCTCAAAAGCAAGTGTTAAATCTGAGCAATGGTGCTCTGAGTACAGCTGAGGGGGCTAATCAGCCGGTGGTATACTGCTTAGCAGGATGAATATATAAGTGGTTTTGGTCTTTTCATGGGCTTTGCTGACTATGATACAAATGCATTTGCTTTTATTCATCCTAGGAAAACTCACTCATCGCTAATTGTAACATGCAGCAGGTCCGGTTGCATGCGAGCGAACCCACGGGGGACGTGAGCGGCGGCGGCAGCAGCTTAAGTTAATCTCCTGTAGCAGTTGTTAGTCTCTTGTGAACAGCTGGGGGCCTGTCACCCACACCTGGTTTCTTGCCTCCAGCCAATCAGTAGCTTGTGCAGGGGGTCAGGAAGATCAGCAAGAGAGGGAGGAATTGAGGAGGCGTGAAGGATCAGAAAGTGCCAGAAACATCAAAGGGTGTGCGTCTTTCTAGAAGTTACTTCTACTGAGGAGCTCGGGCTTGAAGGGTCTCGTGGGCTGCGTATAAAAGCGGGGTTGGCGCTGCTCTCGGCTCATTGTTTACACTGGTGACCTCGCTCAGTTTGCGTTATTGCACTTCTCCTTGAGTCACTCATCCGATTTGAAGACCTTTGCAATGGAGCTGGTGGTTGCTAAAAGATCTTTCCAAACAAAGGGACCCTTCAAAGCGTCCTCCGCCTCCTCGTGGGGTCTGTCTGGACGTGTGGGGATGCGAATGTTGATGCACCGCGACATGATCACCTGCAGATTCTTCCGATCCCTGCCGCGATCCTGGCTGAGAAAGCACTGGGGTCGGCTCGGGCAGGACACGAAGAGCTCCTCCTCCGCTCCACTTCGCCGGTCATCTTCTCCTTTCTCTCTGTCCTCTCCTCGTTTGTCCTCATGTTCCTCTTCTGTGTCCTCTAATTGCATCCGATCACCTGTCTCTCGTCTTTCTTTCCCAGCGCTAAAAGACCGGGACAGAGAGTGGGATCAGGCAGGCCCGGCCGCATCTCAGGCCCTGGATGGCCATCGAGGTTCGTTCAGTGGCCCAGGCATGACCATTAGTGCGTTGGGATCTAGCGCTTCGCAAACCGCCCTCGCCACCAGCACTTCCACGGCTGCTACCTCCAGCATTGGCCACAACCTTCATTACAACAATAGTTCAGCGTGAGTATGGACTTCATCCACTTCTCCCCTGAAAAACCTTTTTTTTTCTTTCAAAAACTTTCTCACTCGTTTCCTTTTCAAGAGATTTTCTTTGTTTTTTGAGTTGAAAGATTCACAGAGCAGTCTTTCTCTGAAACGTATATTGCTGCACTGTCGATGTTTGCAGGCTCTGCTGTATGTAAATGTCTCATATTTTTAGATTCTCGTCTCTTTAGCTCAAACGATATTTTGCCGTTGCCACCGTAAGATGTTTTTATAGTCGACACTTAAAGGCAGGCTGTCTCTTCTAATATGACGCCCTGTGAAGCTGAGTGTAGACGGCTTGCAGCTGCCTGCTTTTCTGCTGCATGGCTCGGTAACGGGGGGGGGCAGTGAAAGAGAGATGGGCCACAGTAGGTGGAGAAGAAGAAATCAGGAAAGATTTTCTCTACTTTCTTTGATTTATTTGCTACTTTGGGTCTTTAAACGCACGTGTTGGCTGCTAGCAGCATCACGTTGTTTCCATTTCACCATGTATGCCACCTTGGACCTGTGGTTGTCTTCCCTCAGATCCCTCCCTGGGGAGATGGATGAGACGGACACTCCCCGCTCCAAACGCTACAATGAAGACGCGATTTCCCTCGCTCCTTCGACCACCGAGTCCATCATTGTAGAAGGTGAGCAGCTGAGTGACTGAAATGTGGCTTGAACTGGAATTACTGGAATAACAGTTCCAGTCTCAGTTGGTATCAGTGGGAAATTGTTGACCAGCTTTTCTCAGACTGAGTCTTCTGAGGGCTGCCTGCTCGAGCGACAGCTCACCTTCAGGGCTTTGTGTGTCCTGCTGGTTTGACTTGTGTGTCCAGGAGTGACCTCGACCTGTATTCTAGGCTGGAGACTCTATGGGCCTATTTATGAAAGGGCTTCTGCCGATACCCGTTTTATTCCACGCTTTAACAATGTATGACAGGGCAGGATGGTTGTTTTCCCTCACAGTTGTGTTATCAATATGGAGGATGATCACCTATATTATCTCTGATATTAAGAACATCACAGCATGCACTGTGCTCATGGATAACTGATGAAAGGGGCGGAGATCATATGTTGTTGAGGAGGAGTCACACTTTGTTATCGGCCCTTTGAGGAAAGCGACCTTGATGATAACGTGCGACGCGGGTTCGGCATTGCTGGAAGCGACTGTAGCGTGTCTGAACTAGTGTTGCTCTGCAGAGGCGAGCAAGTTTCCTGTAGTGAGACACAAAGTTGCTACAGATCGTTTAAAAGATGAAAACAAGGCCGCGCGTCGTCTCGGCCGAGCTGATGATTTTATAAACTGTCTCATTTAGGCGACGGGAAATCCTTTAGTTCAGAAGGATGAGCTGTTAAACAGGGACCCTGCACAATAACGGTCATTTAAGAATCGTCATTATTTATAAAATTCTGCACATGTTGAGGTGTCATCATGCAATATTCAGAAGTCCTTTTCAAAATAATTATAACCAACAAAGCAGAGCAGGTGTGATGCCTCTGCTGCTCTCCTCAGATGCTCACTATGCAGCTGTGCGGGCTGATCTGGAGTCTGATGCTCAGGATTTGGAGGCAGACTCGTGGAGTTCGGCGGTTGATCAGCAGTATCTCAAAAAGCACACTAAAGAAACGGCGAAGAGACAAGACGTGATATACGGTAAGTGTGATTTCATTGTTCCTGTACGTGTCCGGCCAGTGAGGCTCCTGTCGCGCGGATCAGATAGATAGAAACATATATGTGTATATATTTAAAAAAAATTTACACATAACATATAATGTAATTGCAAGGAGGTATTTCTGTAGTCTATTGATACTAGATAGTGGAAAAGGGGTGGGATTAAATAAGCTTCTTCCTGCTCCTTTTTGAACATGGACGTTATTTGGAGTTGTGGTTGCTCGTTTTCCTTTTGTTTTGCTTTGTTCATTTGTCTCTTTTAATTCTATTTTTTTTATACTTTTTCAACATGTTCAAAATAAAGATTCAATCAATCAATCAATCAATCAGTGGGTGCAGACAGCGCTTTGAAAGGCACACTGACTGGGCCGTGCACTTTAAGTGTAACACAGTTGGAATCGCACATTTAATTCGGCGAGAGCTGTAAATGAAGCTTAATGTGTAAATGTGTGTGTTTAAAAGCCTAAATGTAACGGAGTGTGTAGATGAGGGGAAAACCAGGAGCTTTACGCAACATCCAGCACCTCAGTGCACGACACACACACACGTGCATTACAGAACATGCGTGTCGTCCTGTAGAGCTGATGCAGACAGAGATGCATCATGTGAGGACTCTGAAGATCATGCTGCGCGTCTACGTCCGGGAGTTGAAGGAGAACCTCCAGATGGACGCAGGAAGGCTGGACTGTCTGTTTCCCCGCTTGGAAAACCTCCTCGACCTTCACACAAACTTCCTGTCTCGTCTCAAAGAGCGGCGGCGAGAAAGCCTGGTCCCGCCCAGCGACAGGAACTACACCATCAACAAACTGGCAGACGTCCTGATCGCACAGGTATGGAGGAGACGCACGCACGCTGATGCCCACCATCGGCGACAGAGCTGACGTTCGTTCTTTGTCCAGTTCTCAGGTGAAATCGGAGAGAAGATGAAGGACAGCTATGGAGATTTCTGCAGTCACCACCCTGAAGCTGTCAGCTACTACAAAGATCAGCTGCAAAACAACAAAAAGTTCCAAAACATCATCCGAGTACGACGCCGACACAGAATTAGCTGCATCATATCACATTAAAGAGGCGTTGGTTACCGTGCAGCGTCAAATCAAATGTTTCTGCTTTTGTTCTTGCAGAAAATCAGTCACCTGTCTATTGTGCGGCGGCTCGGAGTGACTGAGTGTATTTTATTGGTGACACAGCGGATTACAAAGTACCCGGTGCTAGTCGAGCGCATTCTTCACAACACTGAAGGTATTTCTGCTCAGTAGATCACAGTTACTGCCCAGAACGACTTCGCTGTGTTTAATCATTCCTTCCTCGTTCCTAGCTGGTACGGACGAGCATGTGGATTTGAGTCGGGCGCTGGGTCTGATCAAAGACACCATCGTACGGGTGGACACGTTGGTTAATCTCCACGAGAAGAGCTCCAGGCTCAGAGAAATACACCTCAGGATGGAGCCGAAGGCACAGGGGAAATTCAAAGACGGTCGTGTCTTTCGGAGGGAGGACCTCGCGCCGGGCCGGAGACGGCTGCTTCATGAGGGCACAGTCAGCTGGAGAGCTGCTTCAGGCAGACTCAAAGGTTATCACATAATAAAACTATGACTCCTCTGCTGTCTGTGCACATGTTCTGGTTCTATAAATCCATAAGCTGTCATTTCTGTTGCTCTTCCTTTAGATATTCTTGCCGTGCTGCTGTCAGATGTGTTGCTTTTGCTGCAAGAAAAAGATCAGAAATATGTATTTGCTGCAGTGGTGAGTACGTCGGTATCTATGAAAATAAAAGGGCATCAAAGAGAAATGTGCTCGGTGTGTTTTGGAAAGAAGGAGCAGAATTCTGCTGTGACGGGCGACAGGTTTGTAAACTCATCGGTTCAGCTCTCATTCTCGTTTCCGCCCCCTCCTCTCTTTTGTTCTTCTGGTCCTCCCAGGATAACAAGCCGTCAGTTATCTCTCTCCAGAAGCTCATAGTCAGGGAGGTTGCCCACGAGGAGAAAGCCATGTTTCTCATCTGTGCCTCTTCCAATGAGCCGGAGATGTATGAGATCCACACCGCCTCGAAGGAGGACCGAAACTCATGGATGACGCAAATACGACAAGCTGCAGAGAGGTAGCTGCAGCAACACACAAACACGCATCTGTTTATCACTCGGGCTAATCCAAAGAAAGTGTTCACACACCTCAATCAAAGCCAGGATCCTTTCCTCATCTGGCTCCTGTCTTCTCCCCCGTTAGCTGCCCTCACACTGAGGAAAGGCTGTTCAGTGAGGAAGAAGAGGCGCGAGCTTCCAGGTTTAAAGAATTTCGAGGTAACTAGAGGCCACAAGGTGGTGCTCGTGTGTTGTCTTACCCTTCAACTATCTAGAAGTCTAGAATATTAAAGCTTGTCCAGGAATGAGTCTTCTGTGTGATGCTTCCCAACTGTAGAACGGCTAAGCCAGAAGGATGCAGTGATCACGCAGGCGCTGACCGAGAAGCTTCAGCTGTTTGCGGACATGGCCGAGTCTGTGGCAGGGCTGGAAGACGCAGCGTCGCGCTCCAGACTTCTGCTTCGAGGAGACTTCTCAGACCTCCAGCAGGGGGAGGTCCTGCTCAAAGGAGCTATCACTGAGGGTAGGACCAGGCCGCATGACAATACGTGCATCTACGTTTCAAAGGGAATTAAATGACGTTCACACACACGTGTTCTCTTCTCTCGCTGCTGCATAAATTAGTAGGTTGTAATATTATTGATTTGTTTTGGCTTCAGTGGAGAACCTTCAGAACCTGCTGCAGTCTGGAGTGAGGGAGGGGCCTCCTGCACCCGCCAGGTGGGAGGAAGGAAGCGGCTCTGGGGTTCTGCCCAGGCGAGCCGACACCTTTGGGGGCTACGACAGCAGCCCCGCCATCTTCAACAAGAGTGAGTCCAGCACAGCGCGAGCCGCAAAGAAGTCTGTTTGACGTCACACATACAGGACAGATAAATACACATGAATAAATACATCTGTGGGGGCAGTTTACACACACATCTGGTTGTATGTGTGAAGTTTCTCCTAGATTATGACCGTTTGCCGGTCAGTTTCTTTCCCCCCCAAGCGTTTGTGATTTGTTAGTGTGTGTGTGTGTGTGTGTGTGTGTGTGTGTGTGTGTGTGTGTGTGTGTGTG